TATGCTTTCCTTCAATCTAACAGGTTTTTTTTTTTTAATTTTTATATTATTTTTATTTTTTTTTTTTTTACAAATGTATGTTGGTCTTAAAACAGTCATTTTAGCATTTAAATTGTATTTGAATATTTAATTTGAGTTTCGTATCATATTTAATACTGATATCCTGAATCAAATGCATTCATTTTACCTTCTGTTTTCTGGCTGATAGTGGAATTAACATGAAATACGGGACTCGTGATGTGTTCTTGAATTGAAGTTGATGCTCCTAAATAAGATTTCATTACATTTAAGAATGAAACTTTATCTGCACTGACAATGGTGTATAAAAAGCAACAATGGATTATTGGGACTTTGTTAATGTTGTTATGGTGGTTATTCAAATGCAAAACACTATATTAACGCTTTAGAGTCTAAGAAATTTCGACACGTATTTTATTTTTGTGATTAAGTTTATTGTCTTTGTAATTTATAAAAAATCGAAGACTATTATCGTTGAAATAAATATACAACCTATACATCCAATTTTTGAGTCACAATGATTCTGTTCACAACCACATTTTTTCTGGCACTGCTTTCCAAAAGCTGGATAAGGGCATGGTATCTCACAATAAAGACCGATTTTTCTATCTTCACACTCAACTCAACAATAAAACAAGCGATTATAAACAAACTTGGGAATAATTTTAAAAATGTCAATATTACAAAACATGAAATCAAAGCAATCCCAATATATGTAGAGCTTTTCTTATATATGAGATCCTCATTTATCAATTCAACATGCACAGAATAACAAATATTGTATCAAATTTAGGGGGAAAATGTTGCTTTTTTTATAATTTGAAAATTCAAGAAAAATGTTAAATATTAAAAAAGCGCGTATTAATAATTTTGTCAGCAAAATTAAATGGAGAAAAATGCAAGAAAACTTAATCATGCTGGGAATATAAAAGATTTTACCTGACGGATTGTTTGCAGCGGTAAATGTGGTGACAGTCTTGTTTTGTACAATAGCATATCAGCCCACAACGTTTACCACAGTATCCTTTTGGACAGGATGTATTGCAATCTGTCCCATAGTACCCTTCTTTACACGCTTTTTTGATAGAATTCTTTGGAATCATATCATATATTTTTAATGAACTATCTATTTCAAATTTAGAAACAAATATTGATAGTTTACTGTTCATATATCTAAGATTAAATATATATGTACTTACAAACACATTTTCCTAGCATATAATCCCATATTTGTCAGTAGTTACATTGAAATCTTTCTTCTCTGAAATTTCACATATGAAATAACAATGACATTCATCAATTTAAATGGTGACATTGTTCGTGATAACACAATGTGGAATTTCAAAAATCTATAATTTCTCACTATGTAAAGATTTTTTCCTCCAAAGATATATATAATTAATCAAAAGAATTTATTACCCTTTGCCAAATTTAATGCAGAAGACGAAGAGCGAGGTCAAAAACAAAATAAAAATGTTCAAGAGAAACATAGTTGTACTTTTCTAGATTAAAAAATACAGTGTTTAATGCAATGCCGGATTGTAGTTTGCCTATATTTCAATCTTAATGGTTAATGTTTAAAACCGATTTCTTTCCGCGATTATTTTTATGTGAATTTATACATATTATACATTTACAATTTTTATATCTGATTAGAAATATTTATAAAGACTAGGGATATTCGAGCATTAACGAGCATTCGAGAAAGTTAATATTACCTATAACGTCCGAGAATTTTAGTTACATAGTGCCGGGAATGGGATTATACATGTACCTGGTTAGTAAATTTCATACCTGGCGAGGCGGAACCGAATCAAGTATGATATTTACTAAACGGTATCATCATGTACCTTGTCACTAAAACAATACGTTTTATTAATCGAAGCAATTAATCACCTTTTGCCTAGTATAATGTCGAAGACGGAGAAGGAGTTTGAAAATAAAGTATAAATGATCCAGAATAACATTATTGTACTCTTCATCACCAAAAAATTAGTGTTAAATTCCACGCCTGATTGTAGTTTGACTATATTTCAATCTTTATGTTTGATTTTAATTACTTATTTCCTTCCGCGAGGATTATCATTAGAATTTATAAAAATGACTTGATATATTCATGACTATTGTACAATGTTTAAATCTGATAAAGCATAACTATAAAGATTGCTATTAAATATTGTGTAAATGCCTGATCCACCAACACACAATCTCTTTTGTTATACACCCTCCTCCCCCCCTCTCTCTCTCTTTCTCGATGATATGAGCAACAAATACATAAATACATAAATGAAATCTAAGTTTCTCTATAAATGCATCAAATATTTTTTGGAAAAATTTGAAAAAAATTTTTAAAGGTGTTTTTCCATTAAAAATCAAAGATTCTTTGAAAAGCTAGTAAAGTATGTGAAAATCTCTTTTCTCGATCATTATAAGGAGCACACGGCGAGTGACCAGTCGGCAAGGGATGCTCACTCCTCCATGGCACCTGATCCCACCTCTGATGTTTCGGAGCTCCGTGTTTGCTCTGCTCCTACTTTGTATTGTTCTATGGACTTTGATATTGAATACTGTTCATTATCCCCATATTCTTCTGGTTTCATAATTTTATTATAGAACAGTGTTTGTATTGTACCTAATTTTATACTAAACAGCTAAACTCTTTATTGCATTGAACTATTTTTACCCTTTTTCTATACCTAAATATGGTTTCAACCAATCAACAAACGTCTTATCCATCACTTGATCATTATTAATCAGTTTAATAAAAGTGAAAGTAATGTTTATCTAAATGCTTAAATTTTCGAACCCACCAGCCGTCCCATCTGCCACCAATGCTTGTTATTTCTTTCAGGTTGACATTTTGTTGTTATATTCACCTTTTTTAATTGTGTTCGAATGGGTTAAAGAGATTTATAGTATACATTCTCTAGTACATGTTCTTACCGAACAATTAAAATTTTTATAAATTGTAATAAGTGAGAATTTCATATATTAGGTTTGTGAGAATGAGTCCGCCATTCATTTTGTTTACCTAGCAATATAACTGCGGACTTGCAGGTTTCCATATGATTTTTCAAATAAATCAATGTTGCTTTAATCTAAGGGTTTTTTTCTGGGCGGCGAGGGGAGCACAGTTGTGTTCATTTTAATTTTTAGCTCTTTCTTTGTTTAGTAATTAACTGTTTTTTAATTTGTTTTACCCACCCTTTTTGATGTCAGACAGCAGATTGGAGCATTTTGTATATCTTTTTTGAATCTCATGATGTTTCTTAGGGTATCTACTTGAAAAACATTTATATAGTACCTTGTGAAAGATTACAGGTTTGGATTCTTTTCTATTCTGGTCCCCCCTTGTCCTATCTATATCATGTTATAATGCCATTATGATGCTTGAGTAATACTTTGCCTAAGATGAGTAATACTCTATTCTTGAGTTGTCTTTTTTCTGACCCCCATTTTGTTAAATGTGTTTTACTCCTGTCATTTACATTAAGAAATGACATATTTAATTTCTACATGATGTTATTTGTTTTTGCCTGCTAAAAAAAAAAATTTGGTTTCTTGGCAGCAGAACTAAGGAACATAAAGACATTATTACTAGTATATTACATATGTATAGTTATGTTTATAGTATAAAGGAAAATAAGATAGATGTAGACTGTTAACTTGAAAATTGCAATATATAAATTGTTCCTCTTCTTTTTATTTTGTTGGGCATAAATTGTATAGAGTCAGAGAAAAAAAATAATTTCAAACTGCAATATCAATGGAAGTAAAAAAAATCATCATCCTGAGTCTGATTCAGGTATCTGAGAAAGTGTTAAAACTATAATTGAAAGGGAAAAAAAACTATTTAAAAAGTGTCTTGGTAGAACATTATGAAATAAACTCATAACTAATGAATACATTAAAATATTGTGTAACCCAAAAATATTGATGTAAAGGATTCACACAGCCCATCAACAATATATACAATAGATTAATGATGATCAATAATAATTGATCCATTACGATATAAACACTGTGTCGAAGCGATGCAAAGAGAATAATTCACATTTGTTTTTTAATCACATCTTATGATCTGTGTCATATCACACACAAAGGCAATAAATCACAATGAAACTGAAAAACATTCGGAAAATTTTATATTTACATTACATAAGTGTTTGTAAAAGGCAATTAAAATATACAATTTTTCAATGACTCGCTGACCCTATATTGTTGCATTTTACTAACGTCAACTGCATTCATTGTGACGTCACGTTATACGCACTAATTTTCTTCGTGTATATTTCTACGCGTGAGTATACACAAAAATGTTTTTCAAATCAATTTCACAGTAAGCTTACTAGAAAAACACAGCGAATGTAAATATTATGAAATAAACTCATAGCTAATGAATACATCAAAATAAATTGGCAAGGTAGTCCCGTGAAATTTATATTCGATGTCCTGGCACACATTTAAAGGATTAAAAAGATCACATACAAGTGTAAACAAATCAACAATATATACTATAGATTAATGATAAAAACATCAACAATATATTGATCCCATTACGATATAAACACTGTGTCGAAGCGATGCAAAAAATAATTTATATTAGTTTTTAAAACTAATTTTAACTTCAAACGTAGAATCTACTGACAACAGATATACGGAAAAAAAATTGAAGTGTAAATTACTTTTGTAAAAATAGATATGAATATAAAATTAAATAAAGAACATATGATTGAGAAGTAATTCATTGATGAAATTCTATTATAGGAATTACATAAACATTTATTTTGTAATTTGCATTTGAGCGATCTAAAGGCCTGTTTATAACTATTCAATCATTTTACCTGTAAAGAAAAAAAATAAATATTAAATGCCTCTGAAATCGCAAATTAGGGCATTTTTTAAATTTCATGTATAACTTAAAGACACAACGCCGTAAACGAGTCATCTGCACTCAGAATCTATTTTTCTTTGGTAAAACATATGTCGCACATTATTCTTTTGAACTAAGAAAATACATACAGTGTATACACTTCATATCTAGATAATGGATCCATGTTTTTTTCTCTTTCTTGAATTACTTTTCTAGGGATTCATGACCAATACAATGATATTTAAAACTGCTCAACCTAAAGGATAATCAAAAACCTGTTTAAATGCGCTTTAATTTTAATGTCATCCAATGCATCACACAGGTACCGTACATATACATACAGGTTCAGGATTTTATCAACGTTAGTAAGTGGATATTAAGTTTTTCTTAAGATCGGCCATATATCTCCACTTCACAAACTTGAAGGTAGTCGGGTTGTCCGTCTTTTGATAAAATAGAAATAATAACTTCATTCCCTCTGGTTTCCCTCTCACACAGAATCAGGATACGGTCTCCATTGGCGGCTGGTCCGGGGTAAAAACCACACGAAACGTTACGTCCATTGTCGATGACATCTACTCGTACATCATGTAGTCGTTCTCCTGTAAAAAAACACATCTTTTTGATATTTTAAAATTAATAGAATAGAGGGTCTGAAATGTGGTGAAAGTGTCATATATTTTTCTTTTTCTTTTATATTTTTTTCTTTTGATGATTCATTTAGGAAGTCTTGACTTAAGCAGTCCCTTCCTTTTGTCAACATTCAACGTTTGGTATCAAAGCATACTAAAATGAATTTTGTAATACACTTGCACAAAATAACTTTAATGTATTGTCTGCATAAACTGATTTTTAAAGATTGATTTTATTCAATCCTAACAGTCATGTATATATAATTGTGTGAAGTTAAGTAATAAGCGTAAATCTGGTACATTTAGTTTATTCACTTGTGCTTTTATATATTGAATTCTTAATCATGAAATTTATTCATAATAAAAACAAGTAAATTTATAAAACTTTTTAGAAACTCAGAAAGTGATCTCGTCGATCGATAGTCAGTTTGCTATTTTTTTTTATCTAAAGCATTTATCAAATGTCTGATTTGTCAGCAAAATGTTCCCCAAGGTTTTCAGACAATAGAAACATTGAGCTTTCTCTAGTCATAAGATAAAGAATAAAAATCATATCTAATATATTTGGTTTTGTTGTTTTATTAAATATGTAGTATTTTTTACTTTTTCGTCTATTTCTTCTATTGAAATTATAAAAAAAAATCCATAAGACATGTATGTGACATAATCTATAGAAACACAAATTCTGAGAGTTTTGAATTAGCAATACTAGTCCCATACCGGCAAGTGTAATTTTGTTTCCCAAAAAAATTGTGGGATTTAAAGAAAGAAATATAAATAAGATAATAAGATTAATAAAATACGATTTATCAAAAATACCAACTGGAAAAGAAATTCAAAATATTGAAGTAGAAAAAAAATAGAACGTTAATTTATTTAATGTAATAATAAAGAACTAAAAAAGTTTTCGAAACATCTCATCCTTAAACTAAAACTAGAATTAAACAAGTGAAGAATATAATTCATTAATTAGTCAGAATCAGTTATAAATATAATAAAAATATTTATTTTTGTTCCTCAACATTTTAATAATTCTTACCACAACAGTCTTGTCTATTGTAAATCAAAACACTTTCAACATTGCTGGTGTTCATTAAGCTGATTTTCAACCAGGGATCTATCTGCTGTTTGGAGCAAGCTATAGTAATATTAATGCCTTTTCCACATTTCGTTGTCCCATCTATTGCATTCGAAGCCTTAAATAAGGCATAATTACCAACTTCACCAAACACTGAACTTAAGCTAGCTGTTTTCGCCACTTTTGTAAATGAAATACAGTATCATTAGTTATATAGATATAATACATAACAAGACTACTTTTTACAACAAGTATATATAAATATTTAATATGTGTGTTTATTCTTTCTGTACTTTAAATTCTGTATTTGTTCATTATATAATCTGATTATGTAATTCGATAAACCAAATGGCTTACGGTTGAGGAATAAATAAATAAACAAACAAACAAATATTGTCATCAGGAGTCAAGAAAAAAAGCTATTTAATTATCTATTTTAAAGTCAGTATGAATTCTAATATGTGCGAATTAAAGCATTCTCTTTCTTTTCTTTACCGATTTCCCCTGTTAAAGAAGTGTTAGATCGATACTGATCCGTCACTGCTAAATAGCCCTGAGGGCCGGGTAAATATATAAATTTGAAAGTTCCAATCGGCAAAGTGAAAACTTTTTGAAAGGGAGAGCCACTTTAACATAACAAATTAGCAAACAGAAGAAATAAAATTCCTGGGAAATTTATCTTAGCTTATTTAAAGCTAAGGTGCTTGGGATAAAGTGTCAATCTAAGTTATCAATATATCTGAAGTTTCTGAATTAGGATAAAACAGATAAATGTATTTTAATTTTGCAAAATCATACCACATGAAAAAGTACATTACTTTATTATATCATGAACACTAAAAGGAAAATGTTTTATTACATTCTCAGGAACATTTTAGATTTCAAGATTTGTTTGACTTTATTTATGCTTTACTTTTAACTTAGGTAAAATATTACTTACGGTTTTGTCCGTGTTCATACGCCTATTAAAAGGTAAAAAAAAAATTTTTTGATTATACATTCCATCTTTTCTTACTATTGTTTGGCTGGCTAGGATATAATCGGTCAAAATCGCTAGTATTTTAATGTCGTAACGTTAATTTAAGACAGAAATATAACAAGAAATACTAGGAAAATAATACCATTTCGAGATATTTACATCCGGGCTGCTCTGTTGTGTAGTTCCCCCTGTTTTCATCCATTTACAGCAAACTCCACACTGGAATAAGTCTTCTCTTACTTGACAAATTTCTATTCCTACACATTGAAAATTCTCGGTGCAAAATTTAGTACACATACTTAACGTATTCCCATAAGACATCCCATCTGCCGAGAAAATGGTTTGAGAGTCTGTGTTAGAAAGCTTTTCGGAAAATTTAAAACGAAATTCCCTGTGGTAATACGTTTGCTGGGAGGCCACTCCCGAAAATATAAAAAGAATATGAGAAAGTTGGCAAAACATATTTTTCATGATGCTTCCCATTTCTAAAAGATCATTACACTGAGGGGGTACACAGTTTTATTTCGTAAATTTGGTTCATTGCGCATGTCAGGCAAAACACCGAGTCCCGAAGATGGAAATATCCGAATGAGCAATCAGATACCGTATTTTGTTCTGAGTAATCAAAAATTATAATAGTTTTGATCCGTGAAATGTAAATCAATACTTTGATGTAGATAGAAGTTTGCTGACAAAATGCTTAACAATTAGAAAACTAGAATGATTTTTTTAATTATGTATATTTTCGTGGTAATCTAGTTCATTAAAATTACATGTATTCACCCGTTAGTGTAGTTCGTATGTTTTAATGCTGGTTAATTCTAGTTAAGAATAAAAGGTAAAGATGTGTAACAGCTATTGATCTCAAACAATCTTCAAACAATTCTAACCTGCAATCAGGATAAAACACTTGCACGGAAAATATCAAAACTAGGATCAGTCGTCAAGGGGCAGTATGTATTCCAGATTCATATATAGTTAAGATAATTAAGTAAGTAATTTTATGTTTCTATGTCGAATGTTTGAATACAGGTCTTAAATCTGGTATAATGCACGTCGGTCGAAATGCAGCACAGAACACATTAGGAAAAATATTTCTATACATTTTGCATGTTAATAAAATTTTTACATGTTAAGAAAAATAAGTTGCAAGCCAACTTAAAACCAGGCTACTACTCAGAAGAGATATACAAACAGAAAGACAATAAAGAACCTGTTTCAGCCTATGATCGTGCCTGTGCAGTAAATGCAGTGATTTCATGATATCTTATATCACTTGTGTTCAAAGAGATTAAGGTCTGTGGTCTCTCTATATTTTGATTGAAAGAAAACCGGATTTTCAGGGCTATCATATTCTCAACTTCTTCATTTAAACTAATTCAGTATGGTAGACCTCTAGAGGATTTAGGTATCAACCACTTTAAAATGAGACTGGATATCTATAGTAATAAATTGATGTAACAGGGTTTTGTGCAGTTGTGATGAGAAAGATATGGAAATAACGAGCAGTATTCAATATCAAAGTCCATAAAACAATACAAAATAGGAGCAGAGCAAACACGGGCCTCGGAAACATCAGAGGTGGTACATGTATCAGGTGCAATGGAGAAGTTAGCAACCACTGCTTACCGGTCACACCCGCCGTGTGCTTCTTGTCATGATCGGGAAAAAACGGGAAAATTCGACGTCAAGTCAGTGTATAATGGACTAACAATGAGTATGAAAAACGTCAGTCAGCATTTGGCTCAATGATGAATTGTATTTGCTGACAAGGTCATTGTATCGAGCGCATTGAACTGACGAAATAATGACTTTAAACGAGACTTGATATTCTTTTTTCATCAACCTGCTTGTCAATAATTTGACTGTTTTAGAAATTGTCCATACGTAGAGTATGCTCTTTCGTATCGAATCAACTGAGATATATACACTCCGTATGCAGGTGATGAAGGTATATTGCTGCATACATAAGGGAAGTTGACGATAGAAAAGTTAAAGCCATCATGTTTAGCAAAAAGCTTAGTTGTTAGATTACCATTAACGTCTTTTTTAAGAAAAAATATCCAAGTATGAAACAGATGTGCCAGACTCTGTGGTATCTTTTATCTCAAGCTCAGCAGAATTTATATTATTGATGTAGGAATGGAAATTACCAGATCAGTATAATCAAAAATACCTTGGGTGATATAAATACTTCGTTTGCTAGATTTATTTATTATCGAGCAATGATAAGATACGAAGTCATCAAAAGGTCCCAGAATCGAATACCAAAAATCTGTATTTGAAATATTTTTTTTCTTATTATAAGGTAAACACAATACGCTCAAATAGATCACCGTATCATTTCTTTAATCATTTAGCGCCGTCGACGTGTAATATGATGACAATCACCAAAGTCGAAGCACCTCGGTTTCATCACAATCGCAACATCTCGAGCCTTTCCGACTACAGCGGGAAACGACCTCGAATGTATGTGGTAGACGCCATGACAACCCTCCCTTTTCACGATCTCTGAAATAAATGCATAGAGACATTTTGTCTGTGGAATATCGAGTTTAACTTTATTTAATGTAATGACATTAGCTAAATATACTATAGAAGGGACTTCTAACTCTGTCTATCCTATATTTGACTATGAACAGGAAATGTATAAATTTTTAACATCTGATGATATTTATATTCGAGGTTCTTTTTCCGACTTCTGACGAAAAGACCCCTGAAGATGCGATTGGTTTAATCAGTCATATCGAAAAACCGGTCTCAACAGTCAACAATGAGATTTGAACTCGCGACGAAAGGAAATACTCCTTTCTTCGCGATTCTAGATCAAGCGCTATAAGAATCGAACTGCGCCACTCGTGCTCTTTATTGCTCTTTTTTTTTTATTATAATATGAGTTCTCTGTACTTGACTCGATTTTGAATAGAATACACATACTGCAGTTTTTCTTGTGAAAAAGTGAAAATCACATTGCATTATCTTCTCTGAGATTCATAAAAGTTTCTTTAAAACAAAAAAAAAAAAAAAATAAAAAAAAAATTAGTTTTTCTTTGCATATTCTTTTAAATATATAATTTGAGGACGTAATATTAAGTAGAATTCTTGATAGTTTTCTCTTCAGATCATTTCCAATAATGCACAGACATTAATTAAGACACTGAAGTTTATTTTATTTCTCTGCATTTGAGCAGCTGTGTGAAAAGGAAAGATTTTCCCCTCACAAATACATTAAAATCACGAGACTTGTAAAATAAAGACAATTAAAATTTCATAGATCTTTTTCATTTCATTTAAAGAATTTCTTAAAATAAAATGCAGAAATGTCGAAATTAGGAGAGGAATGTTCAGATGATTTTTTTAAAACCAAAATTCATATAGAATTAGTTTGATATTTTATTTCCCTTTGATGATATTTTTAAAGTACATACATATCTGAATCAGGGTTCTCCATCATTTGAGATTTTACTGTGTTGCAGAGTTTACGCGAAGCACTAATATTTCGCGGTATTTTTGCGAACAAATTCGCAGCTGAATAACAATTAATTATAATTACAAAAGATTACAAGCACACACTTATTTAAAAATCGCTAATTCGTTACACAAATGGTATGGTCGTGCATACTTATAAAAGGAAAAAAATACGTTCTGAAAAGCAGAGGAAATTCTGACCGATAGTCGAACTACTTAACATTTTTGAAAGTAGATTTGCCGAGTTTATTTATCAGGTTTCTTGATTGATTTACCGCATAACAAAAAAAAAGGAACTTCAGAACAGTAAAATATTTTAAAAAGTTCCTTGAACATGCTGAAATTTCAAAAATTTCGGCAATCTATTTACATCAATGAAATGAGTTTTGTACGATGTTATGTTTAACTTACAGTGCTTACATAATTCTCGAGCCGTGGCTCTAAAGGAAAGATATATTTAAATTTTTTCATAAATAATAGAATGTATTTTATTGCAACTACCAATTAACCGGTACATTGAATTGTGAAAACAATTTATTTGTCTTTGTTCCCTCATGCGTAAAGTCCGGCGAGGGTCTAGGGGATAATTGATTGATTACTCAAGGTGAACAGCTCATGGAGAACCCTGCTGAATAGTACGTGCAATTTCACAAATGTTTAATTAAAATAAACGAGAGTCACGATTTTTTTCAGAAAGTAAAATAAAAAACAATCTCCACCAGTGTCCAAATGGAACATACTAATAATACCGTACAGAATTGACTTTGCCAGGAAATTAATGTTTAGAAAAATGTTCTGCATACTAAAATTAATAACCCCTCCCCCCCCCCCCCTATTTTCGTCATTTTTGGCAAAATTTCTAAACAACTCTCTTATTATTGAAAAAGTAAAGATAAAGAAAACAATTTCCTGAAATCTTAAAACAATAAAAATCATACAGTGTAAAATCTCAAAAGCCTGCTAACAACAAGTTTTGGATCGGTTCGGGTGTAAATGGAAAGGAACTGAAGCATTCCATCTTCCCCGGACACATGCACCATTAATACTACAGTAAAACTTGGTTATAACGATTTCCTTCAGACGGATGAAATTGCTTTGCTAATCTGTAATTCGTTATATTCGTATAAGGATTTCGTTACATTTACATAGCTGGGGATTCAAGATAACTTCGCCAAGAATTTGCAATATCCGTGTTCGCCCTAAACAAGTTTCACTGTAATTGTTTATCCTCCCTCTGAAAGAATTATCCGAAATCAAATTTAGAAATAAAAATATACTATCAATTTCACTTTGAAGTAACCAGGAAAAAATGACATCATCTATCCTAAAACATTTATCGCTTTAGTGGTTATTCTCCTGAAATTAACGTATTCAATGATAATTTATTTGTTTCCTACTGGGGAGCTATTTCTTCTGCGTCTGTTCATTCGTTTAGCTTTCTAGTTGTCCATCTATCCATCTATCTTTTTTCTGTGTATCAGTCTACCAATTTTAATTGGTTTTTCTACATTTGTTTTTCAAACACTTGCAGATATTAAGAAAGCTTATGTTTGGTATGTAAATGTAAATTGATGAGTTATATTAAAATACCTACACTGTACCATATTTTAAATGGAATCAAGGCCCTTTAATTTTTTTGTGGGATTTCCGTAATATTTTTTTTTGTTAAGCATTGCAAATTTCATGCGGACTTTGGTACATTATTTGACTTGGCATTGAAAAGTGTAGAGGAAG